ATACTTATATATATATATATATATATATATATTATCAATACTGTACTTCAATACACTGCAAGCCGACAGACAATCACCATTATTTGGATTTCTGTAGTTTTTTTTTTTCAATAGCCTTAAGCGCTCTATCTATTTAGCCAATGCCTCCGCATTAAACGTATTTCTTCTAAGCATTCAGATTTTGAAAAGCAAATGTCTAACATGACATCTCATTTTTAAAATTGCAATTATCCTATATCTACTTAAATCTGCAATAGATAAGGCATCATTAATATCACGCAACAATTTGGTTTGCTGTAATTTTAAGACTAGTTCTGATAGGATACCGTTTGTTTTAGATTATGGTCCTAAAATTTAATCTCTAGCTCATACACTTAAGAACGATTATAATGCTCTAAAACAGGATTCGAACATCGAACCTCTTTTTTGCAATCCACCCATCATTGCTAGACAACAGCCACTTACTTTGATTTTGACTTCATCTAAATTACCTTCACTTACCCACAAGTATAACAATACAACATGTTTGAAATCTAGATGCCAACTTTGCAACATTATCACTACATTACACATCTAGATGTGTATAAGAGACAGTATATATACAGTATATATCATTCCGATATATAATTACATATTCTAAATGGACTCTAGACCTACGCCTATGTATATATCGTGTCTGTATTTAACATATTTAAATCTTTGTCAATCTAAGTATGTCCTGGTCCTCGATCCCTTTTAGGTTCACTTGGATAGGCCCATCTTCACTACAGACTTCTATGAATGGATATCTTGTTTGAAGCAATAAACCAAGTGGTCATTATCCAGTACCGCTCGTTTATTTAATTCGTGTTTTAACATAACTTTCACCACTATATATTTCCATATATTGTCATAAAGAATATCTGCCATAATTTTTGGAAAGAATTTGCATTTTTCTACAGAGTTCAACGACCTTTTGACCTTTACGTAAGTCAATTTCTGCACACGTTTTAAATTTAAATGGCTGGAAAATCTACAGGCTACATGTTAATACCAACACCATGCAAATCTATCCAACAAATCATGAGTTATGAACCTAAATGTTAACCCCTACCCCAAACATCGCCAATGATTACACAATTAATAAAAAGTGACAGTAATAAATTTAATCAATGTATACAATTTTCTTGTTCATTTTTGATATTCTATATGCTTTTAATAATAGAAAATACTAATTGGTATCAAATCTACTCACAACTGTAGATTTGTAAACGTTTCTGAGTGAATTGGGAATAAATATACAACTTTTCTGTGTAGGTCAATGACTTTTTGACCTCCAGTTGCGTCAATTTCTGCCAATTTCAAAACTTTTTAAATTTGAATGACTGACCAATCTATAGGTTAAATGTTGATACCAAAAACATCATACAAATCCATTGACTAAATCAAGAGTTATGACCATTTAAGGTTATCCCCTACCCCAAAAACTGTTGTTGATTACAAATTTATCGGATCATAAACATTGATAATAGTATATAATGCATTTTAATTTTTTTCTTGTTAACCTCAATTTTTGTATCAATATGTTAATAACTACAAGAAAAACACAATTTGTATCAAATACATCCAAAATTAGACATATGGCACTAAAGTCTATTTATATTTTATGAAAAATTTGCATTTTAGAAAAAAGGTTGATGACCTTTTGACCTCTAGTGACGTCAATAATTGTCGGATTAATTTTATTTCAATTGCATTCGATTAAGAAACATGTATGCTACATGCTATATGCTACCAATATAACATTGATGGGATTTTTTTTATTCACAGGTTATTGGCATAAATGTTACCCCTCCCCCCAAAAAAGTATTGACCATAAAACACTAACGACCATTACAAATGACGCGAGTACATACAATGCATTCCTATATTTTTCTTGTTAACATCGATTTTTTTTGTTCTATATGCCCGTAGGAACAAAATGAAACGATTCCAAGGAAGTTTAACTGTGGGGGCGGGAGGTACACGGTGACCCCCCCCCCCCAAGGAAGTTTAACTGTGGGGGGGCGGGAGGTACATGGTGACCCCCCCCCCCCTCCAGCTTATGGCCTATGTGGAAATGGATGGGTTTGCGAACACAGATGGCGGCAGATTAAAAACATGGTTAAATTCAGGAATGTGGCGGAGGGTACCGATGTTAACAATTGGTGGGATAACGGTAACCAAGCGATTGCGTTTAGCAGAGGGAATAAGGCATTCTTGGTCATTAATAATGATTCTTATAGAATTAAAGAATGGTTTTCCACTGGTCTACCTGCTGGAACCTACTGCGATGTGATCTCCGGTAACTACACTGGTAGTAAATGTACAGGCACCACGATCACAGTGTACGCTGATGGCAGAGCCTATTTCGACATTAGTAATTCTAGTGATGATCCTATAATCGCCATTCATGTTTTAGAAACACTTATGTTTTGGGTTTCATGTTTTAAAAACGGTTTTAATTGTGTAATGCGCCATATAAGTCTATTACCATTTACATTACAATTTAAATTTTTCATTTTATAGTATCATAAAATAAACTTCAATTAAACTAGTCTACAAGACTCCCTAAATTCACTGTCAACTCCTTAAATTTACTGTCAACTGATAGTGCAAAGAATGTAAACTATGGTAATGGGTATTGCGAAAAATACCTTTTCTTGTTCTATATGTCTTCAAAGTAACCAGTTTAACTGAATAGAAATATCTAAAAATATATTTAACTCAGCTCCAAGGATATTTATTTTTAGTTGGATTAGCTCAACACAAACAATGTCTTAAAATCATTGAAATAATTAATTTGGATCCACTATTTATTATTAGTTTTTATTCTTTATTGACCACAAAGTGTAACATAAAACCCTTGATAACAGGAATAGGCCTAAATATGTTTTGCATTTGGAAAATTGCCTTTATAACTATGGGACATTAATTGTTGTGGAAGAACAGTTTACAAACAAATAAAATATGATGCTCATCTTGCACACCTTCCTTATACTTACATAGGCCTATTCTTTTATTTGTTTTTATTATAGACTATCTACCAGTCTCAACTTGAAGATACTGTGAACTTAAACAAAGCGTGATAAAACAATTCGTTTATTCTTGAACATGCTGACATAAATAAACCGGTGCTAGTATGAGCTTAGTATTAAACGCTTTATAGTGGTTAAATCGCATATCTGTTGCATTTTTATCGTGCTTCTCAATACTGCTACCAATTCGAAATTACGAATAATAATTATTTGTCCGTGATTCTGTCCAAAAACATTATTGATCGTTATACAATATTTCTTTAAGATGATTATACAGAAGTTAGATACCCAGAAACTTTCTATTTGGGTTTACTAAGGCCCACCAAGCACTACACTACTTTGGTAACTTACAAAATGCAATTGTAGAAAGTAAATAAAGACATCGTTGGAACAAACCGGTCCGGGCCCCCTAAGATTATAAAGAAAATGGAGAATAAAAGGAAATTATCTAAAATTTAGTCTGAGAGTGCTATTTCCAGCCAATCTTGATGTGCCATACTCATAAATGTTCTTACCTCAGCCCAAGAATTAATTCAGCAACTTCTTGTTCGCTTTTAATTTTACGTGCGTTCGTTTGGCAGTTGATTTCACTTTACTCAATAAACATTATTTATCACCGGAACCTTAATTTCAGTCTCTTTGTGAATTTAATTGATTCCGATGTAACAGTCAAAATGAAAAGTTTGACGGCTCAATCTTGTTTTGACTGACAGAGGTCACGTCACATTCTCTCTCTTGTCATCAGGCTTCAATCCGTTCAAGTTGATTGTATTCCAAGTAAACTTTAATATTTTTCCTACCCACCAATTCCCATTTGATAATGGCCTTATTCAGAGCATCCCATTGTGATGTCTGGATTAATACCGTAACTTCTTGTTCGCTTTAATGTTACGTGCATTCGTTGTGCAGTTGATTTCACTTTACTCAATAAACATTACTTATCACAAGAACTTTAATTTCAGTCTCTTTGTGAATTTATTTGATGCCTCTGCAACAGTCAAAATTATCTAAAATTTAGTCTGAGAGTGCTATTTCTAGCCATCTTGATGTGCCATATACATAAATGTTCTTACCTCAGCCCAACCATGGTGAGGCTGAGGTGGTCTATATCTCCATCTGTGAAAGTTCCTCCCTGGGCCCCATATATTTCTAATTCCTGGATCCGCCACTGTAACATGTTGCACAGAAATATTTGAATATTTAGTCTAAGCTAGTTTATTTTATTTTTTTTATTAAATAAAAAATATATAAATAATCGCGCAAGGAAGTATAGTGATAAACATGATGATGATGCTGATAATGATAGTATGCCTACGAATATAATAAGGTTGTGGTTGATGTCGTGATGATAACAATGGTAGAGATGATGTTGATGATGATGATGATGATTATTATTATTATTATTATTATTATTATTATTATTATTATTATTATTATTATTATTATTATCATTATTATTATTATTATAAAGATGATGATGATTGTAATCCATTGTATCAGCTCAGTTCGCCCATATTTTTTTTTATTTATGTTTTTATTTAAATCGAACACGTCCATCGCCGTCCACAGAAGAGACTTACGCAGACTTGGAAATAGCGCATGTGCAAAATATGTTCTATAATGATGATTATGAATAGTTCATGAGATTTTACCAAATCAAGGCAATTAAACAGAAGGACGCACATCACGGGACATCAAAGGTTATAACTCTGGCATCGACATTCTAGGCGCACGTGCGTCCCTACACGCTGAACGTCACAAAAACCATAGCAACCATACCATAAACCGTCAGCGTAAGTGACGATTTACCCACGCGCATGTTAGTTGCCACGATAATCGCTCGTCGTGCGGTGATTACAAAGGCCTAATGATATTTTACACTTACATTAAACTGAAATATATTCTTCATTTCAACATTAATTTTACCATAATTGTGATGAATTGTCGTTCATGAGACTCACTTCGCAGAAAAAATTAATAAATGGTCTGTATATACTCAAAAGTTTGTTTTCGGCACCTTATGCCAACATTGTCAAAATGACAGATTAATGTTACATAAGAACATGAAATTTAATAAAAAATGTAAATTTTGAATTGTTATAACTTTTCATTTTCTTGGTCAATTTTCACAAATCAAATTGCAGTTTATAGAAGCATTTAACAAGTTCGCGGTCAAAAAAAAAATCAGATGTAACAGACATTGCGAAGTACCCACAATTAATAAAATAACAACTAACACCATAAAACGAATGGCACGCATAGACTAATAATTGACGGCTGACAGTACTCGCAACTAGTATAGGACTGTCGATGCCACAGTAAAGATCAAAGGACTGTACGCACGCGCTATGTTCGAGAGCGGAGATGTGTTTCCTTCTGTTGAATTACCTTGACCAAATTATCCTTCGTTAAAAAATCTTCGGGAAGCAACTTTGCTAAATTCTTACTGTTTGCCCAGTCCCTACTTCCATAAAAGGACAGTATGGAACGCCATTGGTGCCAAAATATGTTATTTTTAATGGTTTTTACGGATCAAGACAACATTAGGGACCAGAACTAAGTCTACTGTTATTACAACAGAACGCAGGGCTTTTCCACATTGCCATAATGAGAAGTGATGTCGAAATTGCAAAAAAAAGTCATTAAAGAAAGACGATAAACAATAATACTATTAAAGTGCTACTACAAAGTTGTGAAATTAAAAAATCATGAAAACAAACTCAACTAACGTGACATTAGTGAGTTTAGGCCTATACAAGCCGATCAGTGCACTTTTAGTTCATCTACCTCATATATCCACACCTTACTCTATTCCGTCCCAACATTCCTTCAACCGAATTTACTCTTTTATCGGCTTATCATTATGTTGATAAAAGTTTTTGATTAATAGTTCTTTTTTTATGTCGTGATGATTATTATCAGAACAGTCAAAAATCAATACTATTATCATTGTTATTGTTATTATCTGTTCTTTTAATCGTGTTTTTTCTTTGTCTCTATTAATCTGTTGCCGCTGCGTCGGAAAAAATTATGTTTCTATGTGTGTTTTTAGAAATAAAATAAAACAATAAAAATAGATTATAGCAAAGTATCTACACCTACCATGCCTAACATGTAACGTGGTCGATTTAAGAAAAAAAAATAATTTCGATGTCTAATCGTTTTAAAACTTATTTTTGTGACTTATTGAAAGATGACAACGTCTGCTATTGTTTCAAATTAACAATAAGCCAATTCATGGTTTGAGCTCTGCTGCTCGTATCTAAGGTCAATCGACATAATAACGTTTAATGTGAGTATCGTGTTTACGTCGTTAATCTTGATACGAGCATGCGCTGTTCTAACTATTAATTGCCTTATTCATTTAATTTTATTGAATAAGTTAATTTATACTTTGTTGTTTTAGGTGGCAGTATATATTTTAACTAAGTAAGTCGGAGCCGACTTTTTATTTTTTTATTGTAGCATATTTTACATCTCTTACTACCTGAGAGCTTCTATGTTTTTGTTGGAATAATTATCCACATTTTCCATCAACCCATCTGCAATTGGTAGCCACCTCTAATGAACTCTCCCGTGCCTAAGTTAAGTGGTTAATAATATCCAAATATATAATTTACCTTTTTATTAGTACAATTATTAAAAAATTTTTCGATATTAGTTTAATGCATCATAAATTGAATGCTTTTTCGGGTATGTGATTTTTGTGTCTACTGACCCCAACGGGAGCGTAGACACTATGTCATGATGTAGCAATTAAAGATGGCGGGAAAGAGTAAATCCGGTTGAGCATGATGGGTTGTAGAGACGCAGCACGCGTTCGCTACTAACGCCTTTTACCGTCATTTGAAGGATGCCCTCTAGAACATGATAGTACTCTTCGTGATCAACGACATAAGGTGGTAACTCCAGGAGTTACTCATTTTTAAAGTGTTTTTAGTGTAATATAGTAGTAGGCTTATACAGAATATATTGTTATGAAAGAAAAGTTTAATGAAAAATCCAGATACACTACAATAATACACACATCTGCATATTGAAGAACATAAGATAAAATTTAAAAAACAAAAACTCCTGTATAAG